TGCATAAACATTTCCTTCTAAAACGCTTTCAGAGAAGTCTCGTGTTCTTCCACACAGGTTTCCTCGGTAATGTTGCTCAGTGTCCCACACCTTTTCCTGATGAGTACATTCGACGTGTCGTCTATAGCTTTGTCTTTACTTTATTGACTGTCGAAATCAAATTGTGTCTATTTGTAGCTTCCTTGAAGGTTAAGAGGTTACAGGTATCGACGTTCGAGAGTTGTACGGATTATACTAACGCAAGATCTTATACCAACAACTTCTATAGTGTTCGTTCTTCGAGTACCAAATGGTAAAGCAAAAGACCAGATTTTGTCGTCCAAAGTACGTATTATATTTCGGGACAAAATCGCGGCTAGAGGTGAATGCTTAGCTAGCTAGTAATCGTGCACGCACGTGACACGACGGAGTACCAAATGGCGGGGATGCTTGACCGTAAGCCTTCAGCTAAACAAGTCGACTTAAACAGTGATGGTCAGCATCCAATGTTGAGTGATGATTGCTGTGGTTAATAATTTTGGGGAATTATTTACCGCTACAGCTCACTTCCCCCTAGTGGGTTTGTGAGGACCCTAAGACATGACCAGCCGGAAGTAAAAAAATCTCGATGGTTCCGTGATGGGTGAAAAAAACCTTAAGAGCGGTTTGGTGGAGTGCCGACTGGTCTGTCCGCCTATGCTAATAGGGTGTCTGTACATAGCTTCCTCGATGTTGCTCGTTGGATCCCGTGCTTCGTTTGTTTCCTGTCCAGTGCCCGTTGCACCTGGAAAAGAAAACAAGAATGCTAAGAACCTTGTCAAGAAAAATGTACCAAATAATCGTGTTTTTACCAAAAAAATGACGTGTATCTACTATACCTTAAAATAATGTAAAGTTCAAAATATCGGGAAAAAAAATATACATCTAATTTAATTTTTTTTAAGTGCATGTTTAATGTACGGTTATAGGAAAAATATCGTCTACTTGTGTTAAGTGATGCAACATAAAAAAATTGATGTGTCACTCAGTTATGTGAAATAGGTGTGAAGGTATTCTGGGAATCTAACGTGACGTCCAGAACACGTTTTCTTAGAGTGATCGACCGAAGTAGCCGGTGGGCGAATGCCCTGACAGTCAATAGTGTGACCCAGAAAATCGAGTGAGTCAACGCCTATTTGACACTTCTGTATATTGATGGTAACACCATGTTGGCGTAACCTTTCAAATGCCAAGTCCAAGTGTCTAAGGTGAGTTTCCTTATCTGGACTGGCAATGAGGCAGTCGTCTAAGTATGCGTATACAAAGTCGAGACCGCGGAATACTTCATCGATGAAGCGTTGGAATGTTTGGGCCGCATTCCGGAGGCCGAATGGCATACGTGGAAATTCGAAAAGTCCGAAAGGCGTAATGATAGCCGTTTTCGGAATATCTTCCGTTGCCATCGGGATTTGGTTATATGCTTTAACCAAGTCGATTTTGGAGAATATAGATGCTCCAGATAACGTTGCCGTCAAGTCGTGTATGTTAGGCAAAGGGTAGCAATCAGGGTTGTTTTGGTGTTCACTCACCGGTAATCACCAGTGGGTCGCCAATCGTTACTATCCTTTTTCGGTACCATACGCAATGGGGATGCCCATGGACTATTCGATGGCCGAATGATGCCAAGGGTGAGCATATGATCGAATTCGTTTCTGGCAATTCTCAGTTTGTCAGGGGCCAGTCGTCGTGCTTTAGATGTCACGGGCTGTCCTGAGGTTATGATGTGGTGCATAACATTGCTGGTTATACACGGGAGATCGTTAGATGGGCAATTCAGTTCCGGATATTTGTCAACAATCGGTTGAAAAGTTGGATCGAGGATTGCTTTCATCTTAACGATTGACAAGCTGGGGCCTACGTAAGTTATGCCTTTGATAGACAAACTAGTAGTGTTGTCAATTAGTCGTTTACGGCGGACGTCTACGAGCAAATCATGATGATTAAGTAGGTCCGTGTCAATGATGGGCATTGTGACGTCAGCGATTAGGAAAATCCACTGAACAGGTTTGCGTAAACCTACGTTCAGATAGACGTATTTCCGACCATAGGTTGCAATTGGTTTTCCATTTGCAGCCTGTAGGTTGAAGTTAGGATACCTCTGTCGATCTGCTGCTGTAGCAGGAAGGACGCTGACTTCGGCGCCTGTGTCCACTAGATATCTAGTCTGGCTCATTACATCATGGATGTAAAGTAAGCGGCTAGTGCCACCGGCGACGGTTGCCGCTAACGCGTGCCGGCGGGATAGTTTCCCACAGACTTGGAAGCTTTGCCGAAATCACAAGGTTTTCGACAACATTTCGCTTCCTTGCCATAGGTGTTGTGATACCAACACCAGTCAGGATTTTTTAGAGGACGTGGGTTGGACTTAGATCGACCACGTGCCTTCTGCGGTTGAGGGGATTTAGGACGAAGGTAGGAGGAATCGCTTGGCCTGTCTGACCTAAGCATCTGCTGGATGGAGTTGCATAACTCTATCACTGCACTATCCTTACTCGAAGTCTGTTCGGTAACTGGCCGTTTAGTTGTCTCTAGAATTTTATCTCCAGAGACAGCTAAGTCATCCATAAGAACACCCTGAAGTGTAACAAGTACAGTCTGAACTGACTGTGGCAGTTTGGATAAAAATAGTTCTCTAAACAGTCCTTCATCGAACTGACTTTGGCCAATGATCTCTTTCATTCTTGCCAGCATGCTCACGGCTGACTGATCTCCTAACTCGATGTTACGAAATAACTCATCCAGACGTTGTCGATCTGTGAGAACGTTTCTCTTGAGGATGGATGCTTTTAGCAACTCGTACGAGTTACTTACCGACATCTGCAGAGTTACGCACCTGCTGAATTCCCACGGTAGGGCGTGAATAACTGCAAGGAACTGTGAACGTTGATCAGTTATGTCATGTTCACAAAAATCAGACTCAGCAATCTGAAACCACGTTTCAGCATTATCTGGCCAATATGGTACTAGCTGGATTGTTTTGGCGGTTGAGCGAATCTGAATAACCTTGGGGCTAGGGTCAGTCATGACGAAAAGTATGCCGATAACAATATAGTACAAGAATAAACACAAAAAGGAACGAACTCACCGGGTTTATCTGCGTGTGAATTGAAGATGTAGTTCGTGGTTGGGCTCACCAGTATAGTGACTGCAGCTTGGTTTTGAAAGCTCCTTTTTCCAGGTAGTGGTCTGTTCCTATTTGTACTCCTGTTCAAGACCTTGTGTACAGTAGGGTGAGCCCCCACTTACTTCAGATTTGGATGACGCTGTTTGACTTTTGTTACGACCATCAGACGAACCCCACATCGTTGTATATATTTTTGTGCTTGTATATGCAGCTTCCAATCACATAATACTTAAAGGTACGGAAACCTTCAGTGCGTTCTTCACTCTCATTCATTTCATTGAGCACAGTTTCAGCCATGATGAGTTCTCTTGCTGTAAAGCCCGCTTCTAATTTGGATGGCATTCCGACCCTTCGCTGGAATTCTAATGTTACCATCCGTCTGGGGTCGTGTCCATCATTATTTGCAGCTGTCTGTAGAAGTTCTTCATCTCATTGTGTGCGTGCAGCATTCATTAAGTTTTCGTTTTAAAAAAAAATGTTATTATCATTATGGTGAAGCTTTGTCCACACTGCATGAGAGCATTGGACGATTTTGGTGATTGCTGTCTACATGACAACAGTAGACTATGTCGTCCACTTTTGTTCTTTCTGTACTCATATATATTAGTGGCACCTTTACAGTATACCTTCTGAAATTTGTCTTCACAAATTCTGGTTTTGTTAATTGATTGGCTTATTTTCTCCAGTTTGACTCGCCCCCATTTGAGGAGTGTCTTCTATTTCAGAGGAGTTTCTGTGTGCTTTGATGTTGAGGTATTGTCAAGATCGCTCTTTATCGAGTAGGGTTGCTAGCTAAGAAACCAGAATTTTCGGTCTTAGCCGAGCCTAAGACCGCTACAGTAGGTCAGATTAATACCGTATATGACATTTCCTAACTGCAGCATTTTCTTGCATCGCTCAAGCATCAGTACTTCAATCTCATCCGATATATCCACATTTTTTCCGAAAAGTCCTCATGGTTGTAGAAGGCGAATATTGTTTCCTTCATCATTATCTTTATTTATTTTATTCCTTAACGTTCTCAGTGTAACATAGGGCTTCAAGCTAGAGCTTTGAAGTTTCGGTGGCAGTGTTTATTTTTATGAGATGGGGCTACCAGCCTCATGCCCAACCTTCCCTCTTTATCAGTCTTATTACTGGCTTAGCGAGGTAAAGGAGTGCGTCGGTATATTAATAAAGCTACTGTTACAAACACTTGATTTGACGTGTCTGTTGTGATTGTAATACACTACCAGAAATCAAAAGCATCATCCCACCTAAACCAAGACACAGCACATAGTCGTAAAGCCCTACAAAGAAAGGTTAATTTGAGTCTTCGTGCAACAGTGACATACACATGGGGTTTATGATAAGCCCGCCAAATATTATGTCCACTAAGACACTCATTGCATTTCTGAATTCACTGTGCAAATTTGGTTTGTGCAACGTTTCTTTCATTTAAAAATGTCTTCCAAGAGACACGCACCAACTGACCTCAGGACAAAGTCTAACTTCTTTGAATGACATGGTAGGCGTTTTGATTGGAACGTCATCACATCACCATAAGATTTGCAGACATGTATGGGATGTCATCTTACGTTTTTCATGAACATATTTCTCAGACCATTAAGATAGTTCATTACGCGTGAAGAATCTATCCATAATTAAAGTACCGGAGAGGACAGAATAAGCCTTATGTTATTCAACAAGGTTAGATCTTAAAAGTGTGTCAAAAATGGAAATTCACGTCTTATGATTTAAGGTCACGTAAAATTCCTTAGTAGTCTTGAGCTTGAATCTCAGTTCCCCCCACGCCGAAATCAATTCAGTGATTACCCCTTTTACACAGAAAAAACCTTCTTGACACTCAACCTCTAGTTTTTTATATTGAAAAAAAGATAAAATTATTCAACAGGAACACAAGATATCCTGTTTTATAAAATCACATTAGTGGAAATAATTCATAAGATACAAAAAAAAGAAGAAAGAAATATAAGCAATTTAATTATCACATTGCTTTATACTCTCTATATATATGCTAAAGTTAGAGCAAGATAAAATAAACAATTCAATATTGTCTAAATTAAATCATTTCTGGTAACCGACAGATAGGAGAAAGCTACACTGGCGGTCAAGCAAATAAGTAAATATATATAAAGTGATATCGAAAATTTACGAGGCAGAAACAAAAAGAAGAAACAACAACACAAAACTACCAAATAAAATAAAAGGCAATATAATCACACTTAACTTTTGGAAAAGATAGAAAGTAACAAATAAAGTAAAATGAAGCATAATCATTTGAAGCATTTAAATACATATGTCTATATGTATATCTGTACAAAGATATATCAATTGTGAAAAAATTATTTCCTATATTCTCTATAATAAAAAAAAAACTGTACACTAATTTCAACAGCTAATTCATTCATTCATTCACATGTAGAAATTCAGACAATCTCTGCACAATCACATAAATATAAATCTCTAGATGAAAAAGGTGAGAAATGGCAATTGATATAAGTCTTCGATATACAAAACAAACAAAAACAATCATTTACAATAGAGGTTATTATTTTTTTTGTCCTGAATCCTTGAATCACAAAGAAGTAACACACACTAGCTAACAACATACAGTAAAGAAAGAAGACTGAATGAATTCTGTGGGAGGAGAAGAGGAAAGAGGCAGACAACACAAAGATAATAAGACGATATTATGTAATATACAATTAGTTAAATACAACTGCTAATTACTTTTAAGCTGAATTCTAACTTATCGTATTTCCATAATATTTTGTACATAGAGCAGAGAAATGAAGAGAATTTTAAAATTATTGTGCATTGAACAGGTGAAAGTAATAATCATCTTAGAACTATCGGTATTTCTTTATCTATAAAAAAAATAAAATAAAAAAATAAAACAGTTACCGGAATGAAGTAAACAGAAAACACAAAAACAATAAGAAAGAACAATCATGCTGAAAATATAAACAAATCTGTCGTTAAAGTTCAATAAAATGTCAAAATATGAGTGAACTTTCTTACCATTCATTATTGAATGTTTACCATTTACTAGATCTAACACTAAGCATATATACCGGTTCTCTTGTACTGAATAATAAATAGTTTGGTCTTTTGTGAAGAGTTGTTAAGGTGACTTGAATGATAATTCAATTAAAAACTAGTTGTACTCTTAAAATCATAATCAGCGTAAAAGCTTGAATAAACTTATGAAATCAGGCAAAGACATCAAGTATAACACATTGTAAGAGTGTTAGTAATATCTGTAATGCTATTATTTCCTTATTTTTTCATACAACAATGTAGTAAGCTAACTTTTACGTGCAGTTATTTTCACTTTCGCCAAAAAAAGCTTTGATCTGCTGCCCTTCGATAAACCTAGATAGTCCAGAAATCATATTTACCTTAGAAGGGAATGTTCATATAATGCAGACATATATATATATATATATACATATATATATTGAAAACGGATGAATTAAGTAAAACAGTGCCCACTCTAATATTAACATGTTTTAGCACATATTTTGAAAAGATTACAAATTAGCATCTGTAATTGCTTGTTTTGAATATTTCAAAGATTATACTGAATGTTAAGCGTTGGCCTCGATTCTGTTCATTTTGTTTATAATGTACTGTTAACCTACATTTATTTGTTTCATTGTGTATTCCTTAGAAATGCAACACATAACGATACAATACTTGTTTATTAAAGTTTACATACGTCTACATATTTTTGCCACACTTTCAAAATGAACAGAGTAGTATTCAACTGTATCGTTCATTTAACTTGCATTAAAGTCTCCAGTGGTGGCCAAACAAAAACATGGCATCAATCCATGAAATCCCTGACAGTTAAACTGAGTCAGGTACAGAGATGCAAACTTCCGGGTTGGGGCCTTCGGGACTCTAAGAATAAATGGCTGGAGACAATAGGTGACATGGCTCAAAATCGTTGTCAACGGCGCAGATGTATTCAGTCTCTGTAATCTTTCATATTCCTTTCTACCATTACTCATTCTGTTTCACTCTTATACTTGTCAAAACTCTATTGGTTCTCTTCACTCATTTTCTTGTCTACCTTTGTGTGCTATTTGGAACGTGGCAACTCGAACTGCTGCACTTCGGTGCCAAGTTCTATGTTGAATCCAACCAGCCAGCCAGTGTATTATCGTTAATAGTAAACTCTTCTTCGAATTTCACCATGTGCAGTACAGTGTAGTATATGTACTTGAATACCTTCATCTTGGAACTAATCTACTGTTGAAGGTATAACTTCACTCTATTTGTGTCCGTAAAGAATGGGTGCTGACAGTAGGTTGAATGTCAAAGATGCATACACTAGATCACGGTTACCAGTGAAGCATTGCTTATAGATATGATGAATTCATAAACAAATGATTACCTTAGAGTAAAATACCAGATGATGGATGTAAGGCCACAAAACGTAATGGCATATGTGTTCATTCTGAAGCAAAGATTATTCTAATTTGGTTTTACAGATACAATGAGGATAAAACCCTGAATATCAATGGTAGGTATTTACAAAAACCTAAACGGCTGATTGTGAAGGTATTTGAACTGAAAGCTTAATAAGGGAGGACGACTTGCTACTTACGTGCTACAGGAAACAGATAAAATCTTATTGTTTAAGCAATATGAAGTTAATTCTTAAATTGGTAATTTATAAAATAAATCCCTTTGAAAATACCCAGAACAGTTGCTTTTTTCTGACATAATATGAATAATGTAGAATGGTTAACACAGTAATTATCAAATAAACTTACACACATCACTTATCAATGATCATATTTTAAAGTATTAAAACTTTGTGCGGGAACGACTAGGTCCAGCTAAGCGATGGAAAAAGCCACTTGTTATAGATTCTGAGGTACGGGACGAAACAGAAACAGCTGGAGGTGTACATGGCAATGTGGCAGATGAAGTAACAGTTTGAGAACAGTTTGAAGGGTGATTAGAACTCTGAGGTATATTTTGATTTGATATTTGTCTTCGCTGAGAACACGAATGAATAGGACAACTACATGGTCTATTGGAAGTGGAAACTGATGATGAGTTCGCATTTGTGGAAGAAGTCAAATTCGGCGCTGTGGATTGCTGTTCGGAACTGGTTCCAGATGACGAGCAAATTGATGGAAAAAGAGAAACAGCTGCTGTTCCAATAACACCAATATCATCTGCAGCACGATTAATATTCGTGTAATCCCTTCCAGTACGACGAAGATCCTGTAGGTATATTTAGATAAAAGCGAATTATATATATATATATATATATAATACAACAGTTAGTTGAAAAAGGGCACCGAAAACAACCTGAAATCTAAAACTCACACTTTATTATTTGTAAATGTCTCAAAATGTGATGAGATAAACAGAATTATTCATGAGTAAAAGGTTTAAATTTTCCAGGATGTGTTATAAACAGGGACTCGAAGTTCACTGACTCAAGTTTGATTAACGGAAGTTAACATGTTGAACATCAACGTACGACTAGTGAACCAGCATTACATGAAAAAGAAAGTCAAAGTGGGCAGTTACATATAATGCACCGAATACAACTTCTGTTTTACATTGATCTAAGTGATATCCTCTAGAGCCTACTATACCTCCTCACTTTAGAATTTATAGTCGTTATTATCACCACTATTTCTATATGTGGACGGTGCTTAAATCCCTTTATATTTTCACAGTTCGAAGTCTGTTTTGAATAAACTTCCTATCACATCAAGTCCCATGCCTAACTATAGTGTAATGTGTGAGTCGACTAAGGATTTTCCACTGTACTACATACTGATACAAACACACCAACATATGTGTCTGCAGGAAATATATACTTCATTCCGCTTTTTGATAGCGAAAAAAACTTTTTTAATCGAATAATCTTCATCCGAAGTATGCGATTACCTCATCTAGTCGGTTCTAAGCCCAGGAAAAGAGGTAAGGTTGGGGGCGGGGATAGCCACCCTGCCCCGGAAAATCAATCCAACAGATACAGAAACTTCAAAGCTCAACAAGACTTCAGAAGATATTGATTTCACAGACGATTTGTCTAGCGTCAAATGAATTCGAAAAATTACAGGAGAAATCCAACAAGTTGGCAGAAGAATAAGTAAAGACAGTACTTCAGGTGGACATAGAGAAGACAGGAGTGATGAAGATGGCCAATCAACCAACCAAGCACAAGTACCATTCACTACCAACGGAATAAATCTGAAAGAGGTCACTTCAGTACCGTTTTAACTACCGAGAGAATGATTAGAGATGTCAAAACTAGAATCGGAAAAGCAAGATAAACCTTCAATACCCTGAAATCAGTTTGGAAATCTTCTTCACTCAGCCAGCATAAACAACAAATCCGGATCCTCAACACCAATGTTAGGTCAGTTTTTCCATACTGGTTAGAAGCTTGGAGTGTCACGAGAAATATTTCAAACAGGCTATTGCAAGTTTTTATCAGCAGCTGACTTCGCTCCACAATGAACAACAAATGACCAGAAAGAATTAGCAACAAGATACTCTGGAGACAAACCAATCAAGAACCTATTGTTCAACGAATATGCCGGAGAAAATGGAGATGGGTCGGACACACGCTGAGGAGACTGTCGAATGACGTTGCGTGCCAGACCACCGCTCGAGTAGAGCACGAATAGATAGCGACGAGTTAAGCGTGGAGGAGATGGGAGAATATGCGCAACTGTTAGGCTAGATGAAGAGGATTGCAGACAATGGGGCAGAATGAAGATGTACTGTTGAAATCCTCTATTCCACTCGGATCCCAAGTGAATAATAATAATGTGTGTGGTAATTAAAACTAAATATACACCAGAAAAGACTTATTAGCAAACACTGGTTTCTTGTTAACTCGGTATTACTTAAAAGTGCCCATAGGAACTTATCCCAAACAACCAAATCTCTATTTATTTTGAAAATACAAGTCAGATGGACACACTTTTCCCTCACTTCAAAAGACGAAAACTGTAACCACCTAAAACAGTTAAAGTAATGTATATCTTGATAAATGGTCTGTTACTATTTGCGAAGAAAACATTGTTAGCTATCACATAATTCACAGGCTGAGAAATGTTCAAAAAACTAATCTGCCAAAAGCAGATTACGGTTTTGTTGGCCATCGAAACATATGGTCCAAGAAGTGGCTAAGAATTATGCCTTATCTACATTTTGGATAGACTTAAACACTTTTTTATTAGCTTCAGTTTATCTTCTTCTAAGTTGGTAATATTTTACGAGCTTTGTATGCAGGATTTTCCTTATCTTCGTCGTAATATTTGTTTGTTGAATCTGATATACACATAAGATGTATGACAATTTGTTTTCAAATGGAGGATCCCATGTTGATAACATCAGCGATAGCAGGTTGTTGTGTACCTTAAACAATGAATTGGTGGTAACATCTGAAACTTAAGCACTGGGTGGGGCGGCAATCAACCTCCAAGGAGACACTAGTTCCTTCGAGGCTGCAGACACGCTTTGCTGACAATCACTGGATTCATAGTCAAAGGAGAAAGTTCCAATTGCACACATATACCCAGGTTATACGTGAAATGACTTAAAATGACGGAAAAAGAAAGAATACACTCAAATAGTTAAAGAAAAACCTAATTAACGACATTCAGATAAAATTGGAGTATCGAAAGGTTTATCTATGTACGCGGAATAAAGCATTTTTTATGTAAAAGAGATATTTGCTGCATCTTTTTGTAATGTATTTTGTACAATTTTGAATCTCTCTTTTTACACTAAAAAGTTTACTTTCTTCTACTAACCAATTAATCCTATAATCTGACGGTTAGACTATTTTGAAAAATATTGAATCATACTCTTAAAAGAATACTACAAATGTATTTATACTTTTAAGAAAATTAAAAAAGCACCATTAAATATTTGAATCTTCAGTGTTAGGTCCGTTATCCCTCGATTATTCTCAAAAAATTGGTATGTACATAAACTCATTCATTACAAACAGTGTACTACAAATGTCAACAAAAAGAACCCCAGTCAATAGCAAAAAACACTAATGTGTACATATGTTGTAAGGATCAGAATAGAACAGTAAGTGTCAATCCCATTATTGTTTTCTTTTTCTCCTTATAAACGGTTTGGTTAATATATGCGATTATTTCATTATAATTATTGTGTTTTTTTAAAAAAAAACAAGTAGGTAGGTGGTTTTAGACAGGGTTGCCCAATCTCTCCATTTCATTCTGGAGTCAGCTCTGAAGGATGTGCGTGGAGGTGGTGTAGATCTGCTACCTGGAGATAGACTTTTCGACCTCGAGTATGCAGACGATATCTTCTTACTGTGCCATAGCGATTGGGATGTTGATTGAATGTACAATGTCTGCGTCACGTATATTGTGGAAAAGAATAAAGTTTTATTGACCAGTTACTACATCATTGTAAAGCTATGAACTGTGAAATTCCTAACCAACGCCTATGAAAACTATTGCAACTTCACCTAATGCCTAAAGAGGTGGAACAATTTCAAACAGGTTTTCAAAAATGGGCATTGTCGACGATAAACTTTTTATTTTTAAATTTAGAGCAAAGTGATAAGCTAAACAACTCACATTATCCATTTGTATACGTTTGGACATGGTGTTCACATACTGCTGAACAGCTTTGTAGATAAACCTGTATTGTGTTTCAGTTTGAACCATTCCAGAACGTTGTTCCCGAACAGCTTGTATTGTACGAGATATATCTATATCACAATTAAGTCCCATCGTTTTTATGTAATTAATAAGCATGTCAATTACAATGAATGCTCCAGTGCGTCCAATACCAGCGCTACAGTGGACAATAATTGGTCCAGAGCCAGGAATACTGTCCTACATAAGAGATTAGAAGGAAAAGCATCTTAAAGGATTAGATACATACACAAAAATAAATGACACGTAAAAACGTTAGTCTCAATTGGTGGTGTTACTGTGGTAGTATTTCTTGCGCTACCATTTACGTCGTGTTGATACATAGTGAAATGAGGCAAAAATGAACTAGCTAGCTGGGCAATCTAGTTACTTAGCACTAGTGTAATGTCCGTAACTGATAAGATTTACGAGCAGTATTTAAAGAGACGTTCATCAGCATAAAAATATCAAAGACTAGAGATAGATTTGACGTCAAAGAGAGTAAATGAATCAGAGTTGCGGCAAAACATGGGAGACACTAAAAGAAGACAAAGAAACACAGCACGAAGGGCAGAAGTAATACAACACAGAAGATCTGTGGAAATGACGATTTTGAGATAAGGTGTACATACTTCCTCCATACAGAAATACCAAAATCCAAATAAACATTCCGTTACCAAGTCTCTTGTCTTATACCGCTACACTAGTAGCTAATGTAAGTAATACAATATGTAATTATGGGAATTATTAGCATAATATAGGGTGACTATCTGAATATTATTTATGCTACCCATAAAAAGAAATATTGTGATTCACCGTATCACGAGTTTCCAAAAGAAATATTATTCTAATCCATGTACCATGTTAGTAGGTAATTTCAGTCATGTGGTATTTTGACGAAATAGGCAGTAAGATGAAATAAATAAAGTTCTATAATGCGTAGATGAATAATAGATTAGAATAAACATCTCTTCTTAGTTCATATTCTTGAGATTTGAGTGGCATGGGAAAAATAGCTGTACTGTATCAGAATATTATTAACACTAACTAAGAATTTGTCTTATTTGAATCTCATATAGTCCTTCATATTAAACACAGCACCTATCACTGAAAACAACAGACTACTATTTCTAACTACCGATACTCACTGAAAACCAGTAAATGACAAATTACGAGGTTGAAGAATAATGCACGGATCATTGGACCGTACATCAGTGTTTGGGCTACATCAGCAACTTGAAACTCACTTACTGAAACTTCATTCGAAATCACTTAATTGTTGTAAGTTAAGATACAATGCAAGCATTCTCAAGATAATTGTTCTAAGTAGGACTGGATGTATTTAAATGAACATGACTGGGTCAGAAAGAAACATTTCACAAAGGAAGTATCCTGCTGATAGACTTAACTCAAAGCTGAAGGTCATAAATTACGGATCACGTCCATCAAGTTTCAAAAACTAGAGAAATAAAGGGGGGAAACACATATGATGAAAAGAAACGATGATCACGATTTGATTTTCTCAACAACTCTGACCGGCAATGTTTTCAAATTCACGGTGTTCTTTTTTATTTAATTGAATTTGAGATTTTCCCGTTGATTGATTGGACCGAAGTGCTCGGTCTCAGGTTGACATGTCGGCTTCTTGTGCAGATGCTTTGACGATGTCTGGGCATTTAATTAAAATTTAACTGGTGGATGGTGACTAGCAGTAGAATCCAGGATGCGCATTTCGTCCTGTCTGGGACTCGTCGGCTGGATGTACCTGCATTTCCCGTTGAGTGATGATGTTCGCGCCGAGGCTCGAACCCAGTGCCCATAGTTTCAAACACCAAAGCGTTTTCTACTAGACCACTTGGGCTACGAGAGCCACCTCTTGTGCAACGGGTCCGAGCACTTCGGTCCAATCAATCGACGGGAAAATCTAAAATTAAATTAATATGAAAGATCACATTTCTCTACGATGTTCTTCCTTCCTTTCCGTTTGTTAAATTTACTCGAGAAGAAGAATATCATGATAGAACTTCTTCGATGGTCTTCTTACTCAAAGGACTGACGTATCTCCATAGCAAGAAATTTTTCAGGTATGTTTGATACATCCAGTTCTACAGCTTCATAGAGATATACTACAAACAAAATCGAATTCACAACCTCCTTCATAGAACAAAAGCTTGTATGTTCTGATGACTGAAGTGAAGAAGAAATAGAAGTGACAAGCATTTAGCCTCAAAATAGATATTCCAGCAACTTTCTCAAGAAATGACTGATCAAATGAAGCAAAATGTAGAGAGTAAGAAGCTTTATCTAAAGATATTGGCGGGAGTAACTATGACTCTCTTAAGACAGCCAAATGCCTCGTCATCTAATTCCGCCCAGTGCTCCGAGCGTCAACGTGCAGAAGCTCACCAGGGCATGGGGAATGGCGGGATAGGGACAGTAATAGATGGCGAACTACCGGTGTCTTCCCATGACGTAGACATGTGGCCTTGTGCTATGTGCACCGTCGGGTTGATGCTTGAGGGCATGGTTGCGCTGGCAGGTACCTCCGCGTGGTTCCCGCTGGGTGGGACGGTTTTCCGGCCGTCTCAGCGAAAACCTGTCAGATTCGGTGTGCTATTTCTCAATTTGGGAGTGCCGTTCATGGTTTGCCGGCTGACTATCCTCTTGGACATGGGGTGTTCTTGGGGGCGCTGGAGCATTCTGTGGACGGTAGCCTGGTCATGAGAACCAAGCGGGAAGATGGTCGGGGAGAGTCTTGTATCCCAATACCAACTGGGAAGGTGCCTAATTCTCTTGTATCCCAATACCAACTGGGAACGTGCCTGGTTCTCTTATATCCCAATACCAACTGGGAAAGCGCCTGACTCTCGTTAACTCGGCCTGACCTGCAAGGAGATCATTTCCGAGACTAGTTCACCAACATGGGATAACACTCGCGCTCAATTGCTCTACCTTAATGAAACGGCGGTGCCGTCCTTCGGCCGGGCCCTTCCTGGCGGTGTACGGGGCATCGGCGGTGTCAGATCTGGTGGATTTTTGGTGTGAGGATTGGAAGCCAATAACAAATGGTTAGCGGGTGGCTGTGAGAGATGGTACCCCGGATCACGAAGCTAAACTTGATGCAGAGTTTTGCCTAGGCCATCCTTGAGCAGTATTCCATGTCCGGGGTTGTGGATTGGCGGTCGGGATCCGGGTTCATGAGTCAAGATCCGGTTGGCTCCAGTGCGCATGTGTCGCTGAGAAGATGTTACCTAGTGCATACCAATTTGGAAGGAGCATTGCATTAAGAGTGACCCGGGGATCGTCCTGGGGAGTTCGTTGTTGGGGCTGAGCAAAGTCACTGGGGCGGCTCGCCAAAGGCAAACTCTTACTCCTTTTACCGGCGCGTTCGGCAGTTGGCATGTGCGACAAGGGGAAAAACTACATATAGCTCAAAGGCAACATATTCAATAACATATTAAGTTAAAGTATGAGTAGATCTATTTTAAAAAATACTTTAAGTCGCAAAATTACTTATCAGTTTCTCAAACAGACCTATACTAACAGTCCATTAAAGATGACATGACAAACATAAACATAACTAAAGTGCGCAAGCATATTTAACTGCGCCTGTAAATTTAGCTATATAGATAGCAGCCAGAGAGCTTTATTCTCACAGAATTTGAAATAGACGGTAGTTCGGTTGAGAAATGGATCAATTTTGATTGGACACTAGTAAATAGTGTGACGTGTCTAGTCCTTTCTTTGGTGCAGACTGAATTCTATCAGTCAAGTTTGCAATGTGGCCACCATTCTAGGTAGCTCGCCATCATGGTGCACAAAAGTTCCTTCAAGGTTGCAGATACGCCTTGCTGACAAGTGTCAACTAGCACGAAACCTAGGTCCAAGGCTTCCTAGTGACTGCCTGCAACTATCTAATATCATCATATGGATCAATTAATAGAATCATCTTGTTTCATTTTGATGGACAGTGAACAATAAATCAAAATAGAAACATTATTAGTAATATACACCCACAACGCGTCCAACAATACCAACAACGGAAGCAGAACTACCAATGAACATCGACCCTCCGACGAAATCCGAAGTCCTGAATGCCATCAAGATGCTAAAAGCTGGGAAAGCGCCAGGACCAGATGGAATCCCAGCAGAAGCTTTGAAAATAGACCCAGAGACAACAGCGGACTTGATGACGCCACTACTAGAGAAGGTGTGGAAAGAGGGCAAAGTACCCGAGGATTGGAAGAACGGATACTTATTCAAACTGCCAAAGAAAGGAGATTTGAGTCAATGTAAAAACTGGCGTGGAATTATGCTTCTGTCCATTCCAAGCAAGATACTATGTCGCATCATCCTGGAGAGAATTAAACAAGCCCTAGATGAAAAACTTCGTCCGGAACAGGCCGGATTCAGGAGGAACAAGTCATGCATTGACCAAATCGCCACCCTACGGATTATCATTGAACAAAGTTTGGAATGGCAGTCACCTCTCTATCTCAACTTCATCGATTTTGAGAAAGCCTTCGACAGCGTCGATCGAGAGGTGATTTGGCAACTACTTCGCTACTACGGGGTGCCGCCGACAATTATACATCTCATCCAACAGCTGTATGACAACGCTGCATGCCAAGTAATCCACAACGGGAAGCTCACGGAATCCTTCGAAGTGAGGACGGGAGTGAGACAAGGCTGTCTACTGTCACCAATGATCTTCCTGATTGCAGTTGATTGGATAATGCGGCAGACAACGGCAACCAACGAGGGAACAGGCATAAAATGGACCGACACAAAAGCCTTGGAGGATTTGGATTTCGCCGATGATATATGTCTGATTTCCCACAAACTGGAAGATATGCAAGTGAAAAGCAACAAATTGGCAGAAGAAGCAGCAAAGATAGGACTTCAAGTGAACATAGACAAAACAGAGGTAATGAAGATTCCTGGTCAACACCAACAGCAACAACCGACAACAATCAGCATAAATGGGAGGTACCTGAAGGAAACAACTTCTTTCACCTACCTGGGAAGCATCGTCTCAACTACAGGAGGAACTGACGAGGATATCAAAGCCAGAATCGGAAAAGCAAGACAAGTTTTCATTTCTCTCAAGTCTATGTGGAGGTCAACAGCATTCAGCGTCAAAAATAAGATCCGTATTTTCAACTCCAATGTGAAGTCAGTACTACTATACGGATCAGAGACTTGGCGTGTCACAAAGAGCAGCTCAAACAAGCTACAGACCTTCATTAACAAATGCCTTCGCTCAATACTCAAGATCAAATGGCCGGAGAGGATCAGCAACAAAGATCTCTGGGAGCGAACCAACCAGGAACCGATCGTGAAACAAATAGGCAGGAAGAAATGGAGGTGGATTGGCCATACTCTGAGGAAACCAGCAAGTGACATCACTAGACAAGCCCTCGAGTGGAACCTGAAAGGGAAGCGACGAGTTGGTCGTCCAAGGGTGACCTGGAGGAGATCATGTGAAGAGGAATTGAAAGCATGTGGGCAGACTTGGAGCCAGGTGAAAACTACAGCAGAGAACCGAACGCAATGGAGACACATGGCTGAAGCCCTATGTTCCTCTAGGAATTAAAGGAAATAATAATAATAATAATAATTAGTAATATACAGTGTGATTTCCCTAAAAGCACAAAATTAAATCTACTATCCACAGCTGAAGCTACAGGAATGAAGAGTATGGATTAGTTTGCTTGGTCATCTGGAAAGTCCCACATTCAAGCATATTTATGTCTCTCTGTGACTTGCCTTTTCTGTCTTGTTTACTTCCTTTCAAAACATTTAGTCTACATAACACCGTTATTGATATTATTATTATTATTATTCTGATTTTTTTTTGTCATCCCTTTAGCGTATCCTATTCGTCTGATTTATTCACATTATATCTTATTTCACTGATTATTACTCACTTCTTGCGATCTTCATTTTTATTGATTATAAATTCACTAACACGTCATTCAAGACAACTGTAATAAATAAACGTAATTACCTGTCGAGCAGATATATCGTGCATAAAATCTAACACACAGGAAGGATCGCTTGGAGTCCCATGATCAGGCCACACAGTGAAATGATAGTGATAAACTGTGAATCCATCTTCTGTATTGACTTGATTAGAAGCAAAATCAGAATTTACATTTGTGGCTGTGGTGCTGTCCAACTGATGCATTTTTGTACTGTCCGACTCACAACTATTCTGGTCACATGATGAAGTGTCACATACAGCACTAGGACCAGTAGGTTTACCAACAGCAGAAGCATTAGTCTGATTAACAGTGTTCTCTGACTTTTTATTCGTTGTAGTAGACTCTCTGGTTAGATAAAGTTCTCGTAGTGTGTAATTAACGGAATTTCTTTCAGACAGATGTCGAACACGAATTGTACCTCCGTAACATGGAAATTCCCGTGTACCTTCTTCTGCAGTTGGCCAATAACGGATGCATTTATTCTGTATTTTGGAAAAACAATAGTAAACAAACATAAGGCAATAAAAATTGCGTGTTTTTAAGGTTATCTTAAAAGTCCTAAAAACGTATTCTCAAAGATAAAATAGAGAACACTAACACAACTATGTACTACTGATTTATTGAGATGAGTGGTCGCACACCAATCATTTCAACCAGACAGAGGTGGTCTAAAACACCAAACGGCCGTTTCGTCCACTTGTGGCCGAGCTCGTCAGCGGTGTGCTAGGTTTGATTTAGCTCAAAGAGCCAAAACAATTCAAACCATTTGATTTCCAGATAGCTACTCGGGGTGAACTGGTAACGCCTTAAACCAAATTCACAATTTTCAGATTGATTAGTAATTTGCAATTTGCATAATTCGAGTTGGTGAAATTTCACCACGGCTTCTTTTGAAAACCAAAATTATTCAAATCACAATGTACGTTTAGATCTTTTTGATCTGACTAGCACGCATTACTAGTTGATGTGAGTGATATACAACTTCTCATTTCAATCAATCAGCAGTACACAGTTTTTTTATGAAAACATGCTTGCTTTTTTAGTTACTATTTATGGTATCAAACAGATCATATACTGTGATGTGATATGAATAACTTCGGATTCCAAAAGAAACTGTAGTGAAATTTCACCACCTCAAGGTGCGTAAACTGAAAATTTATTTGCAAATTGTAAATTTGATTTATAAAAAAGTAATATTTTAGAAAAAATGCCACAATTAATAATAATAATCTACGGAGTTACTAAATATTTGAAAAAAAGAATGTTTACTGTTTAAGTAAACACAATGCAAACGCTACATCAGATAAATTAACTGGACACGAAAAGTACATTAGAAATTGACTGAAAAATCTACGTCATTTTTAAGGCTAAGTGAACGAAACAAAATACCTTTACACGGTGTTATTTCCAAGTTTGGGACCAGTGAAGCATATATTAAAACTTGTCTGCTGGTCGTGAATCTCTAGGCTCAGTTATGCAGTAGGATTTTTAATGAAATAAGATCGTGAAACACATTATCGACGTGATTCTTAATGATCTTATTACCACCAAATGATCTAGAGAGAAGTAACTGCAGCAGTATCCTAACTCCAGCTGAAAATCAATTACCCTAGCCAATGATACAGACCTCCACACTCCCAATTCGATGTCAGTTTCAATATAGAACAAAAGCGAAAACGAGACGTCAGGAACATCGCTATGTCCACATATTTATGGTTTGAAGCACTAGGTGTCTATGAAACAATCAAAGTCGAAAAACAGTGAAAACAAGTCATTTCTTTGGTGACGACTAGCCAAAACATTTGAGACCCACGTTCCCTCCTTATTAAAATGTACTCTTGTTCCATTACGTCATGTGCCCCATCAGACTAGAACCTAATGCCTATCTCCAAAAAGCCACAGCGTTGTCTACTAAATGACTCATAAAAAAATCACACACGAATGGAGTAGACGAGTCCTAAATGGGACTAAAGATACACCCACCCCACCTCCCCCTCTCGGATTCCACAGTAAGTCATTACTAAAGGAATAAAATAAAAGAATCTTAAATGACAGTAAGATGGACATCATACAAGAGTTCCCGACAGAAACTAACGGAATTCTTTAAATAATGTGCAAATAGAAGAAACGGCAAAAACCAACAGTAAAGATAAAATACTTCTAGGATCATCATAATAACAAAAAACAACCCAAGATTCATCACAAGTGAAATACTGATCTTATTATTTTATGTGTCCCTATACTTATTCTACCTTAAAACTCTTATTGCTTCTTTTCATTGTGACCACCTGAAGTGATTTATAAAAGCACCAAGTTTTATGTTTTTATTCATACATTTGCGTCGGTGGTTCAGCGGTAAAACGCACGCTAACCACCCACATGGGTTCGATACTCGGCCGACGCACTTCTAAACCTCGCTAAACCGATAGTTAGACCGATAGAGAGTGGGGGTTGGGTGTGAAGTTAGCGACCTCACCCCGTAAAAGTAAAAATCACTGCTACTGAAACTCAGAAGGCCTAGTCTGAAGCCCTAGGCTCCATTCGGGATGTTAAGTAATAAAAAAAAATTGTCCATTTGCTGACTCATAGGAAATTGTTGAAAAAATTAATGAATTGCTATTAGACCTATTAAATCTTTCGCTGACTAGATTTGTTTAAATTGCATTGAAGTGAAAACAACTGTCACTTATTAAAATCAAAGTGCATACATCAACTGAATAACGTGGTGAGCTTGGACAAAGAGACGGATCAACCAAGGATACCTAAAATGTTATCTAACAACGTACGGAAATTTACATTTTTAGTAAATTTTAGCTCTATCAGTCAGACGAAAATCAGAGATGAATACATCAAATTTACGAAATACATAAAGTTGGAGAAAGGTAAATTATACTGTACGATTTTAAATCGTCTAGCAGTTGAAATGTGGTGATGACTTACTCTGCCACGCTCCATTATCTTTGTAATCATAACTATGACAGAGCTTTTTTCTTGCCATATCATACGCCAAAACGCATCCTGTGAATTAGCAACGGCTCCTTGCGTGGCTATGTAACGTGGCTTTCCGTTGAAGAAGAAAGCAGCACAATTATTCGAGCTCGGATGAGGAACAGACGAACTAGTGACTGCAGTAGTACAATGCATGTTGTTATTTAAATCAAAAACTGGAGAGTTCGACTGATACTTTATATTCAAACTACCGCCGAAAGGACAGTTCCCATTTGACAGAGATTCGGTTAGGTGAACCTAAAACAAATGAGTTTTAAGAAATACAGAAATGTTAGTTAAACAAGATGTTTAAATGATTGGCTTATTAGCCATGTGTGCCACTTTTTGTTGTTATAGCACCCTTATATTCTTCACTTCACATATGCATATTAGTTCATTGAATTTCTTTATAACATGCTTTGCCTAAGATGTAAACTATACCTTGGGAGTACGTGAAATCACACCAGATAATGGATAACTATCGCAAACACAGTTTGGAAAAATGTATAAATTAATAACTAGTCAGAACAGTTGAGATGAAAAAAAAACAATTGCTCCCTCCACTTATGCAGCTAATGTACAGTTAGTGGGATAAAAAGAATAGGGCTAGTGGCAAGTAACTGCAGTCATTACTACATTAGGGGCCATAACGCTTTGGTATCCACCTATTAAAAAGTTAACCCAGAATTGAAACACTAGACTAGAAGCTAAAAGAGAAATATCTCGCGTTCAATGGATTCTGAAGGGTTATAAACTCAACTATTAAAGTGCGGGAACCGCTTAGTCCACACAGATATTTAATCTTATTTAGTTGAGGTGAAGGATATGATACTACAAGATTTGCAAGCTCAAACTACAGTTGACGTGAGGTTACAAAACCTATCTCTTGAAATTCATATCTTCAGTGGAAGGTCAAACTTCTACAGTGCTATTACTTCAAATGTATTAAAGTATAGGTGGTAAAGAAATTGCAAAAATAAATTGGTTGCAGGAGGCATGGAAGAAATTGAAACCTTCTCCGTTAGCCATATCACAACACAAAAAAGACTGCGTTATTGTTTGGATTCATGACACCACTTTTCAGCATAACGCCAAATATAGCAAGATATACAGATTTTTCCCTACAGAATTTCGCCTCATTCAGTTACCAACTGCAGACAACTACCTGCTTCGGTCAATTGGGTCTCACGTGTGGAAGCTGTAAGGTGTCGTGAAGACACATAAATAGGAAAAGTCGCTTAGACCAGCGTTGTCCATGGTAAATTCTCCATATCATAAGTTGGCACAGTAGCTATACAGGATGTTGAGTACTCTAAGAAAACAGTTTTCAAGACATACTGTATCTGATTCCTTTCAATTCTTCCGAAAAATTGCTGACTTGGATGCTAGTGGTAAGCACTTTGTATCGTTTGCTGCTGCTTCACTTTACACGAATGTCCCCTTCAAGGAAACGATCGAATTTATTTGTGATGTAGCGAATGATTGTCATATACATCGGCACTATATGAGGAAGTTACTGAATATGTGTACTAAAGAGGTAAAGTTGCTGATCAACAACGGACTACATTTTCAAATAGATGGTGTAGAGACGGGAAGCCTATTGGGGTCCCTATTTGCAGATATACTTCTGGCAAGTTTAGAATATCCTGTCTTAAAGGATTGTAAAGATCAAGCTGGAATATGCCTGTAGCTTTTGTGTAACATATTCCCAATAAGCAAATATAAGGTTGAAGCCAAGATAATGTTAGAAAAATTTAATTCACGTTGTGCTAGTATGGAATTCAAATGAAGATAATGACACCATACATTTCTGCTTAAACGAATTGACAGAACTATAGAGAGATCTACAGGTCTGAAACCAATATCGAAGGGAAAATTCGTACATTTTCAATAGCTTCGTCTTAGTCCAGGACAAAAGGAGTCCGGTTAGTACATGGTTCTATATAACAAGGAGAATGTATTCAAGTAGCACACTAGACACTAGTGAGAAATGGTTATTCGGAAATACATAAGTATGCAAAAGATAAAGTAATATCAGAGACTGTTTCTAATACGAAGATAGACGTAAAGTTACCATTCAAGGGAGAAGACGCCACCCAATTAGCGAAATGTCGTCTGGGGACAGCAATTAAATGAATCTTTTATGCAACTGATATGTTACTCATAAACACGACAAGGAGGGATACTGCCAAGCATGGGGAAAGATAAACTATCGATCCTCACCATATGAAATGTATATACTAAGTTACATGTGTTTGTGGGAGCAAATGCATTGGGAGTACGGAAAGATGCCGATCGATTTGCTTTGCTGAACACTGCCCCTAATAGCTCACTAGTATTTATGATGTCATCCTGAGGAGCCCAACTACACGATATTGTTTGGATTGTGATTATACTATTAAGTTGAACAAAAGCTTTGTAGATATCAATAAGGAACGTGATAAAAAAAGCTCTTGGTTTTGTCGAAACCTGTACAATCAGATCAGGAGGTGGATGCAAGTAAACAGACAGTAGTTAGTTCAAATCTATCTAACTTGATGACATTTTTTTAGCTTTAAAATTCTTCGCCTCTTCCTTCTTTTCTTTATAATGGTTCTTATTTTATTATTATTATGATTATCTGGCATACTGTTAATTTTCCTTCGAAATATTTGTAAATCGAAAGTCATAGTTGAATATCAGTCCTGATAAAGTGTTCACACGATCTTTTGAGTTTACCTCGGACACGTTAAAAGGTTGTTATACAGTCCTATAAGGTTTACATATGTTAAATTTGTTTATTTTTGAGGAGTTTCTTTGTATTTCAACATTATCAAATCTAGTTCTTAATTATATTATTTCTACCACCGTAACTACATTTTATTTTGTTGTTATGTACTTTGAGGAATATTATTTACTCCTCAATAACATTAACAAATCATCACTTTTTTCACTTATTAATCATATATTTGTTGAAATTGATACTTATTTGCTGTCACTATGTCCATGTATTTGTCTGTACGTTTTATTATTATTATTAAAAACATCAACTTGGTACATTAATGGGCACCAATGATGCGCTATATAAAAATAATAGAACAATAATATGTAAAAAATAGACATAGAATAAATGAGGAAGGTGATTCTGAAAGCCAGCAAGAAGGCATACTTTTTAAGATCATACAACACTCATCACTTCATGTTACTTTCGGAAAAGAAGGAAGGAAAAAATTTATAGAACGCTCTCCAGTGATTGAGACCCTAGGGGCATATATGTTAAAGTCTAGAGTCACCGACTGGAACTATCTCTTGGACCCCACCCACGAGGTCATGATGTACCAGCAGATGCTGACCTAACACAAATAACCCTCGCCCCAAGGCGCCACGTCATAGGCTAACCACCTCCACCTTTCCAATACATTCCCAAGGCTAGTGAACAGTAATCGGTATGGTAGCCTCATGAGATGATATTAGTAGCACATGTCTAGGCCACCGGAGGTGGTGTACCAAGGTGACCACAATCAATAAATGGTGACCTCCACAGTGTCCAGACACACGCTGTCGGACCTCAGAATTACTTACAAGGTGATGCCATCGGACATAGGAAATTCTACCGAAACAGAGCTGATCGCATAAGTAGAGTCGCCACACAGCTCGGACAGGCCAAATTTCACAGGTGTATAACGAGAGTGAGCGCGTCCAAGTATTGTAAACCTGACGTTTGACAACCAGGCTGACATTATGATGACATCATTGGTGGCCTAAATCGGCATATGCAACCATAGGTCACATTATGCAACTAGAGATTTAGTTCGTCACACCTCCACCAGCACTCATACAACTGCCTAGATACACGAACTTGTCAACAACTTCAAGCAGTTCACCTGTTAGGGCGAGTGCACGTACAAGCTTCTGCTAACTTAGCAACACTACTTTGCTCTTAGACGGAGCAAAGTACATACCACACTAATAGGCAATGATCAATTCATTAAATACTATTTAGGCATCCTGCTAGATATCGCTCAGTAAGACGACATCATCAGCATACTCGGGGTAGGAAAGTCTTTCTCCAGGAAACACAGACTGAGCAACAGCGTCTAGCCTGAAAGCAAGTTGGGAGCAATGCTTGTGTATAGAGCATTCAGGATGTTAATAAACTTTCCAAGAACACATCTCTCTCACAAATGGTTCCAGAGAGGAGTTCTGTCCAACAAAACGAAGGGAGATCTAATATCAAAAGACGCAACGATTGTTGCCCTGCAACACATGTATTGCTGTTCTACCGAGTTCCGAAAGGTAAACACATGATGAATACATCCACAGCATGAACGAAACCCAACCTACCCCTCACGTGTTTTGCACAGCTTGCGAAGCAACACAGAACTCAACATTTTAGACGCGACTAGTAGCAAATTAATGCCCCTATGATTGCCATACGTATTGCGTAGGCCATTTTTGGAGGTAGGCACGATTGATAGTTTCATTCCATATCGATGGAACACTATCACTTCGCCACACTTTTCTGAACAGTCCAATCAATTCCTTGACAAAAATCTTGTCACCGCCATTCGGATCTCCAATTTTTTGGTGGATCGGTATTAACCAGATCATGGAGCACTGTAGATGGTGCCGTTGGATGCCGGTGCTGTTGGCCAGCTAAACTGTTTCTTACAACACTTCTGTCAGCGTTCTAGGCTGTTTTTCAGGTTTTCAATCAGCGTACTGTCCGCTTCACAGACTGTCTAGCTGAAACCATGCTTCTTTCTATCTGTGGTTTAGATGAGCTGCGACAGCTTCCGGCTATTGCCAGCTGTAGCTACCGATTCCATCTCACGAGCACGTTCTGAGCAAAAGGCTTCGCGGTTCTTACTTAAACACTGTTTGACCTTACACTTGGGAGCGTTGTACATATGCGTATACTCTCTGTCTGCCAAAATGAACTGACGGATGGCCAGAATTCGCAAGAAACGCAGCAGAGCAAATAGATCTTATCACTATTTTCATAACATCTAGCGGGTATAGCCAATATTCACCTATACTATTTCGACGGTTACTAGGTAGCCTTGAGTTAAACCCATAAATGCATAGAACTCTATGCTACTGATTGACTGAGACGAGTAATTGTATATCACTAAAATCAACCTTTACTGCCTGCTAGGCAGGTAGTAATGATCTAAACACCTGACCACCGTTTCTCTAGTTTGATATCTAGCCGATCAGCGGTGTAATCGATTAGACTCAGCTCAGAGAGCCGAATCCGTTGAAGCCAACCGTATTTA